CTCCCATTAATAATATGAACCAATAAAGTAATACACATCAACTGATATGTGTGAATCCGTAGTTGTACAATCATATAATATTTTAATTATTTGAGCCGCTGTATACACTAATCAGTTTATTGTCGTATGCGTTCTCTCATGGTACGGAGTATAGTACTGTAATACCATTGACTTATGATTAAATTATTTAAGAATAATTCTTATGCTAAAAACTATACAATTGGCTGTTTTAATATTTATTACTCTCAAAAAAAATCCAGGCTGCTCCATTCAAATTTTATAACTGTATAGCAGGGCAGCTAAATAACTCTGTGCCATAGTTGTATGTAGCTTGTGTTTAAGGATAGCGTGTTTTTAATTTTAGAAACAATTTCAATTTTAAAATATAACTGAATTTTCTATTTTTTAGGAGTGAATTCAGTGAGTGAGAAATTATCTTGCTATGTTCAAATAGTGGATGATATTTGGCCAGGACTTGACATGCCATGTCCATTTTGTCAAGATCCACTTATCTCATCAAATAAATCTAACAAAAACCTGGTTGTAGCTTTGAGCATATGTCAACATCGAATGCATCTCACTTGTCTAAACTCAATTTTAAACAATCAACCTTATTCTAACCAGGTATTTGAAATTTAAAAATAATATATTTGTTTATAAATGAGGATGCTTAAAACCTTATAAATTAAATATCATTTAAATCTTTCTTAGTGGATGTATATTCAATGTCCAATCTGTATGAGAGTCTATGGAGAAAAAAGAGGTAATCAGCCACCGGGTGCTATGAAGTGGACATATTTAAATAGGTCATTACCTGGATATGGTAGTACAAGAACTATTCAAATCACATATGAGTAAGTAATTTACATGAATACAGTTTTATTTCTTATTCGTTTTTAAAATGCAAGTTCTTATTCACATAAAAAAAAGCTTTCATGGCCAGAAAAATTAACTTAATTACTGAAAAAATCAGAATTTTTATTCAAATAAGTTTAAAAATAGGGTTTTTATGCTTAACGAATCTTTTTTTTAAGTGAAATTTATGAATTATGAATAATCTATAACATATATTTTTATTTAATTTCAATAATTTTTAAAAATGTTTAGAATATCATCTGGAATTCAAGGTGAAGAACATCCACATCCGGGCCGTCCATACTATGCTCTAGGCTTTCCAAGAATTTGTTATTTGCCAGACACTGAAAAAGGAAGGCGTGTATTATCATTATTAAGTAAAGCATTTGAAAGGCGACTGGTATTTACAGTTAGACTTTCAATGACGACTGGTAATGAAGATGTTGTTGCATGGAATGGTATCATACACAAGACAGACTTTGACACTAGAATGCATCATGGTTTTTTAGATGAATGTATCGAACAATTATCAGCACATGGCGTTGTTTGAATAATTTTATCTWTATAAATTAGGCACTAATTCTGTTTTATTTTCAAACTATCTTATCATATTATATTATCACACCACTTTAGYCATCACATGATGTATATACTTAACAAATTATACACAAAGAAGCTAGAAGAAAATACTTGTTTTTCTCTACAATGAAAATTATAAATCATAGTTGTGTTTTTGTTAAAAAGTGACTATGACAACAACAAAATTACGTGACATCGATCAGAAACTAAAAAAGTGTATCCAGGCCAAAAATATATATATATTAAGACTAGCTATTAATTAATTTTTTAAATATTATAGTATTATAAACAAGGTAAATAATTAAAACAGCAGTATTTTTGTTGTTGAAATGTTTTCAGAAAAGGTGAAAATATAAATACTTAAATCGTGTATCATTTCTTTTGTTCTCTAGATAACCATAAAATGATTTTCTAAACTAAAATAATTGAAATTCTTCTGAACAATCTCAACTCTTATAACAGGATTAAAAATTTATAATTATTTA